TGGGTTGGGCTAGATGACCTCCAGAGATTCCCTCCAGAATTAATTATTGTATGTATGGACACAAGTTTTGAGAGATACTCCTGCTTACATGAATGAGGCTGTATGAGCATACACAAAAAAGACGCACCAGAACTTAGCTGTATTTCTGTTACTGTCACTCCATATTTATCCTTGCCTTTCACACTACGCATACAGTTTTAGCTTATACTGTAGTTTTACCCTCTGGGGACCCTAATTTGGATCTTTTCCTTGCTAAGCTGCTTGCTTTTGCAAGGTAAACTGTAATTGTTTTTGAGATCTCAACTTTTCTGTTAAGTTGGGTTGAATCTGGGTAATAGATTCAGAGTTACCAGGGAGAGCGCAGTGCTTTGAGTACCAGTGCAATTGCTTAAGGCTCATTTTCTTAAAGATATCAAGCAGGAAAATAAATTAAGTGGGCTAGACAAGTGTACCCAGATGGCTAAATTCTGGTCAAGATGTTTTGCCAGATTTTTTTTTTCATCAAATACTTGAATCTCTCACATTCCATTTTATTTTATTCAAGAATCGTATCAAAAATCCATTGTAACAACTTCTGCTAAAAGTCTTGGGATCAGGAGCTAATGGCCAGCTGAACCACTGCCTGATCTCTTGAAAGGTATTTTCTGGGTAAAGTCTGTCTGGCATTTTATCCAGGAACAGCAAGAATGAAAATATTCAGTGAAGTACATATACAGTGAAGTACATATAGAGTACTTCATGTTCTAGGTTTGTCAGTCAGCCACAGACAATTTTTTTTTCCACCTCAGTGGAATATTTGTTTCTTCCTTTACTTCATTTCCAGAAGAAACATTCAAATAAAGCTATATTGCACTGTAACCATTCTTTTTAGTAAACAAAAACTGGTTTTAGATAAGGAAAACTTAGTACCTATTGACCTTACCCTTCAGAGGGGAACCCATTTCACCCGTGTACTGAAGTAACATGACCTTTTGGGAAAAAGCAAAACTTGATTGTATAGCTAACAAGAAGGGTTAAAAATATTGCAAATACTTTAATTTTTCCCTAACACTTAGCTTTTATCACTTAAAATACATTGTAGTCTTGCTCTTTATTCCCATAATCATAAGCACCTCCTTGAGGGGGGAGAGAGGTCTGTTCATCAGGAGCCTTCCAAGCAAGATAATGTCTAGGTGACTTGTTAAACTGTGCTTATTCATAAATTCTGACTGACTGCTAATCCCAGTTAAATGCTGAAGATGGAATTATTGTTCGACTGTCATCCTTCCCCCACATGAGTTGATTTCAATGCAATTTCAGAACTCCACCTCTGAGTTTGTTTGCCTGCAAACCCATAGCTGTTCCAGCCTAACAGAAACTCATGAAGATACAGCATAGGCTAACAGAAGTAGCATTTCTGCAGGCAGAGTTACGTGACAAAGCTTGAGAGTCATGAAAAGTTGCTTGTAAAATCTGTGTTTTCACTATTGTCTTTTCGGCTGTACAGCTTCTTGCATCACTTCCGTGAGTCTCACATTTCTGTTTGTCTCGTATGTCTTTTCATTCTTTGAAAATTGTTACAACTGATTGATCTGAATTCTTTTCCACTGAGGTGATGCTCGATGTAATACCATGCAACTGTTTGCACCCCTTCATATGATGGCATGTATTATATTAGAGACCTTATAAAGAGCTTGAATTAATTGATCAGCTCTTGTGCTCGTCTGCTTGCTTACATACAGCATGGCTAAGTACGTCTTTCTTCTCTCCTTCACTCTGAGATTCAAGGCTCAACCTCTAATTCTTTGTATGATAATTTGTTGGGAGTGGAAGGAGAGTGTTATTTTTTCCTTTTCTTTAATCTCACCAGAGAATTCAGTATATACCTGGTGGTTTCATCGAATCAAAACCTGTCTTTCATCAAATCATGTCAGTTCAAGATAGCTCTACATATCCAAATAACCTATACAATTCTTCTGTGACTACTGCTGATCCAATTAGGGCAAAACTGACTTTGACTTTTTTTTTCCCCCGCCACAAAAAGTGAGAGATCAGTATCATAAACTGGAACAAGTTCTTAATGAGTATGAAAGGAAGGAAAGCAGTGACAGAAATATACTTTGAGCCTGTTTCATCAGGAATGTATTGACCTTGTCTGAATTACTCATTGCCACCTATTTCTCTCACCAGTGTCAGAGAGAAACAAGGACCGTTTGGGGGTGTTTTGGGCAACAGGGTTTTTTTGGGCAGGGAAGGAAGGGAGGTCCCATTTGTTCTATTTATTGCCTGCTTTGTTTATCGTCTTCTAGGTTTAAATGTAATGACTCGTTTATGTTTGGCATCTTTTTGTGTATGAGAATTCTGTTTATCACTGTAGAACATGGTATTGTCTCACTGAAACTTTTTTAATCTGTTGCCCTGAGGTACAGGGAGTGTCTGCTGACTTTGTTGAGGATGTCAGAAGCTTGATGTTTTGTTTGTGATGGATTAGGAGACTGTGTTTACCTATGCTCTATGGGCATGAAAAATCTATGCATTTGTAGTGTTATTGCTCCTGTTGAGAATTTATTGCTGTTAGAACAGCTTGCTTAGAAAGAGTCAAAAAGCCTTGCTGTGCTAGAGCTTCACTCTTTATTATCTGTGGGTCACACACTCCAGGTTCAATGAATGACCTTGTCTAATTAAATCTGTAATTATTTCCTGCTAACAGTAGGAATCCTTATGTGCTGCCTGTTGTAGAAGTCACTTCCTAGCTCAAACGGAATCCAATACATAGCATTAGTAGCAAGGCTTGCTAAAAGCCTTAGGCCGCAAGCTGTGAACTTTCACCTAGATATGCTGACCATATACTGAACTTTTACTTAGCTACGTGAAGGAAGGCCCCCAAAACTGGTGCAAACCAGAAAGATAAGGTAGCCACAACTGTCAGCAGAAGCTGCATCCATTAAAATAAGAAAAGGAATGTCCCACCTGGAGACAGAGAAAAGATCCAATGAAGAACAAGACGACCCCAGACCAAAATATTGCTATTGGACCGAACCGTTGCGCGACGGGGGAGGTGGGGGGGGAACAACTTAAATTGTAAGGGTATAATGGCCCAGGGATTTCTTTGTTCAGGGTCCCTCTCCAGAGGCACGCAGCTCGAGCTGTCATCTACCACTGTACCACTCAATAAATTCATCTGGTGTACATTGTGTCAGGGACTCTGCTTCAGGGAAACCTAGGGTCGAGCCTGAGGGGAGAGAACACGCCTGAGAATGAGTGAGTGTGTGTGGGGAGTCGAAAAGGTTCCTTCCAAGCATGCAGTACTGACAGAGCTTACCCTTCTATTAGGATACGTTCATGTCAAGCCTGAGCTGGTAGATGAAACACAGATAAGTAAATAGGGTAAAAAGAATACAGTGGTGCTTTTTTCTATGTAATCTTTCCAACTGATAACAGAAAAGGATGACCATGTACCTTTTAAAGACTTCTTTTCTGGGGAGTGGAGGGGAAAAATTAACTTTTAGTATTTTCCAGAGAGATTGTGCTGTTTCCGTCCTTGGAGGTTTTCAAGAGCTGCCTAGAAAAAGTTCTTGAGCAACCTGGTCTAATCTCATAGCTAGCCCTGCTTTGAGCAGGAGGTTGTACTAGAGATCTCTCCAGGTCTCTTTCAGCCTGAATTATTCTGTGATTCTGATACATAACTGGAATGTTTCTAAACTTTAAATTTTCACTCTGAAGATACACTTTAAGGTTTCAAAGAAACTGGAGAATCAGAACTTCATCTGTTCTTTGTCAGAATTGTTCTAACAGTTTCAGAGTAAACTACTATCTAAATGAAATCAAGAGTTTATGAATTAAAAGCTTTAAGAGAAATTCCTAAAATTTTTGGAATTAGAAGAGAGCATTACCAAGGAAGTCTAGAAGAGATTCAGTTGTATCCTAGAGAGTGGATGGGTATTATTGAATTTTATACCCTTAGCACAAGAGTGGTTTCTCAATCTGGCCTTCCTCTGCTTGCCATAAAAAGATAAGATGGTGTCCTACTGGCATGTCCTGGAGTTCACTGGAGTTGGCTGTTAGATTTTACCTTTGAGGTCCCTGAACATTCTTCAAGCAAAAGATTCTTCATGGTGCTAGTGAGAAAGCCATTTTCACAGGAATGTCGTTATTGCCCAGTCAGTTACGCTGGCTTACTCACTGTACAATTAAGTTGGATGTTTTACTGGGTCTCCTCTTAGCTTGGCTACAGTCAATTACTTTTGGAAACAGGCCACTGATGGTTAATGAAGATTACTGTGTAGTCTAGCTGAGCTTCTACTGCAAGGCAGAGCCTCTAACTCGTGATTCTTAAGAACAGCCATTAGTATAGTCCGCAGGATTCTCTAGTCTGCTGTTTTTTATTGTGGTATATCCAAATCTAAGTAACTTTTCTTCATGTTCTTCTCTTTTTTAATGTATTGTGTTGCTGCAGTGACATTCTTTTCTTGTCAGATTGTTCATGAGCTCTGTAGTTTGTTTTGAAACAAACTGGGTTCTACCCAAGTGCTTTTTCTTTCTTCACAGTTTGGTCCCGTCTGTGATTGCTAAACCACATATGATTGTCCATCTCTTAATATCACTCTTCCTAAAAGTGAGCTAACCCAAGAAAAGGCATAGCTCTGTCATTAGACTATCAGAGCAGGAACTAAAGAAATGTTATTATGACTAGCAGTGGGTATTTTACTGAGAGGTATGTTCTAAAATGCATCATTAGTCTAATTTCTACAACCTCCACAAAAAAAAATGTGGTCCTTTCTGAATCCATCATGAAAAAAAAGCAGTTATGATTGATAGCAAAGCTTACCAAAATATTCTTTGCTCACCTTAATTACAAAACTTCATATATCTGAACCCAGGTTGTATGGATATTTCGGTTGATGATGGAAAATGATTGTCAATTATCATGGCACTGTATTTATTCAAAGGAATAAATGTTAATTTATTGTTGTTTAAACTTCTGTGTTCATAGAAAATTCTGTTGTGCAACTTATTTACAGGTTTTTAATGCGAAAACAGCAGAGCTCTTGAGTCACCATCAAGTTGAGATAGAGCAGAAATTCCCTAGAGAAGGGTATGAATTTTCTGTGTTTTTTATTTGTTTGTGTACATTTTGGTAGAGCGTATGTATTTTTATCTATGAATGATCAAAACTGAAGTCGATTAATAATTGTTAAGAACATAGTATCTTCTATAACAGACTGTGTGGTAGGAAAAACGGCATAAAAACCCCACATTAAGTGTCCGGTATGTGCTCTTGAGTTATGTAAACTAAAAATACTTGGTGTTTCACTGTGATCACTCATTAACGTATTTCAAGTTTAAACTTTGAAGTTTAAAACTAAAGTTTAAACAAGACTTAAAGTCTGATTTAAAGTGGTGAAGCTGGTCATTTTTACAATTTAATCATAGTCTTCAGCTTGGTCCATAGAAATTGCTTAGTTTGTTCTCTGAGGTGTGTGTTTGTTTGTTTGTTCTTAACTGACCTACCAGGTGCTGCTAAAGCCCTCTGCATAGAACAAATCTAAACAAAATTCTTTGTTTTCTGCAGATGGTTTTGTTGTGAAAATACAGGTTACTGTTTAAAAAGGGTTTGAAATTCATTACACTTTTTCTAGATATGTAAAACATACTTTGTAGTTATGATTGTGTCAAAATGCTCAGCTGTTTTTTCAGACTAGAATTTCTTCTTTTCCCTAAATGTAATTTTTTGTCTTTTTATTAACTGGTGTTTACTGTTTGTTAAAGATGGGTGGAACAAGATCCAAAGGAAATATTAAAGTCTGTCCATGAATGTGTGGAAAGGACCTGTGAGAAACTGCAACAATTGAACATAGACATCACTAATATTAAAGGTATTCCTAGTACTTAAGGGTAACTGAGGGCTTTAACATACTTATGGTTGAGCAAGTCAGATTCTCTAGTTTTTAAGTCAATAAATAGAAAGGTGGCAGCATGTGTCGGCCTCAAAATGTTAAATCGGAATTGAGAGCAGTTTGTTTGGGAGGAATAATGGGAAAATAAGTGTATATTAGCAATGCAAAATCTACAAAGTAGACTTAACCTAATCTTGCAAACTCACAGAGACAAGTGATGAATGAAGAAATTCTGGAATTTAAATTAGGACTTACTGGGAAAAGCTAGTTTCCCTATCAATGTTGTTGCTGTCTCTGGCAAAAAAAAAAGAGATTTAGAGCACACAGGTTAAGCAGCAAAAGTTGAACGATGAGTTTTTAGAAGTAATATTTCTAGATTATAACATGAAAAACTTAGAAGCTTTTTACTTCCCATTTACTTTCCTCTTCTCCTTACCTGGTCCTCCCTCCTCTCCGCTTCTCCCTTCCCTCCCTCACCCCCTAAAAGGGGAAAACAAACCTTCTGAAAAAGATACTTCTTTCTGTTTTGTCCTGAAGCCATTGGAGTCAGCAATCAGAGAGAAACAACAGTGGTTTGGGACAAGACAACTGGAGAACCTCTTTATAATGCTATTGGTAACTACTATGCTTTCTGAATGTGTAATATCATAAAATGAGCATGTTGTAGAAAAATGCTTTCCTGGTTTCCTGTGCAGATCTCCTTGTGGCCTAACCTGCTAACTTCTTTGATAACTGTGTCATAAGCTGTGTGTTTGTATACACCAGTGCAATTAAAAAAAGCCTGTTCTGTTAAAATCATTACTTAATAGTTAACAAATGGCTTTGTGGGCTTTTAACAAAAAACAAAGTTCCTGGGGGATTTTGTACATCCCTGGCATGTAATGGAGCTCTGACTTCTGCCCAATCACTTCCTTTTAAATGAAGGAGCTTACTAAATTTTCATGCTTTTGATTTAAATTTAAAGGAAAAACTTGTTAACTAGGTTTAATGACTACTTACTCATGTGGAGTTTTATTTATAACTTACCTTGGCTTTTCAGATTATGTCAGCTGAGAAATGGTAATTGTCTAGATTTGCTCTTTTAGGCCATGTCAAGTGCCAGATTTAGTTTCGCATAGTATCACTGAAAAAACATGACTCTTCTATAGTCAAATATATGTTTTTTACAGCTTTATTTTAAGCCCAGCTGTACCTTGATAAGTCTGACATGGCACTTCAGTTCAAAGTTTTCGTAGAGATAGTAAATAATCAACCTGCTATTTGTTTTAACCTCCTAGTTTAATGACAGTCATCTGCTGTAAATAAAGCAGTATTAATCATTTGCTTATGCTCTGGTAGAGAAAAGTATATATCCTATTATGTGGAAAATCCTGTTTGATTTCTCAAATTGTTTGTTCGTCTAAATCAAATGAGTTTATCTAAGCATTTTTACTTTTTACAACAGTGCATTAAAAATACAATGGCAATACAATATTCTTTCAACTACACGAAAAGCTAAAAATAAAGACATGAATTTACTGGCAAGAGCTCTAGTTTTGTAGAAAAAGCTTGTACATGTCACTTTTCATGTATTAAATCAGTTGATCAGTTAATTTTATTTGTGTTTTTAGTGTGGCTTGACCTGAGAACCCAGTCAACAGTTGAACGGCTTCTTAAAAGAATTCCAGGAAAAAACAAAGCCTATTTTAAGGTAAGAGATATTCCAGAACATTTAAATAGTAGCTGAACTCTTATTGCTACAGTATATAATGTTTTGGAGATGTATGTTTAAAATTCCCCAAAACAAAGTCAGTCAGTTGTAGCTTCTAGTCCCTTCTTAGCTTGTGAAATAATAAAAAATGTGCATAATACTATACTACAGATCTGAGATTGGAAAATGTTTATTTTCCTCAAAAAAAGTGGTTAACACTCCTTACATATCTCACTAGAGAAGTTAAATGGGTAATCATTAGTGAGACTTAATCATGTGCTATCTATCCAATGATAAGTAAACATCACACGCAAAAATTAAGAGCAAGTAGAAAAAGGCTGGAAAATAATTTATTGATGTGAAATCATAGAATCATAGAATCATTTAGGTTGGAAAAGACCTTTAAGATCATCCAGTCCAACCATTAACCTAACATTACCAAGTCCACACTAAACCAATCAAGGGTAGACTGGACTAAACCATGTCCTGAAGTGCCACGTCTACCCGTTTTTTGAACACCTCCAGGGATGGTGACTCCTCCACCTCTCTGGGCAATATATTATCCTTTCTCATCTTATGCCTTAATATTGAAATGAATTGCAACCAATCTGGGAAATGGGAAGATATTTCATAAAGAGCAAATTAAATTCTTTTTTTGTATATGGGTGTATAGATATAACAATTTGGAAAAAAAATGCTTGCAAAAAGGTGTCATAATTCTTTGATTTATATTTTCCTTGATTGATTGTATTAATATTATATATTTTATGTATTATGTATTTTCCTATAGCCAGTAAATGGATGTCAAAAAGCATATAAACTTACTTGATTTTTAAGTTCTAGTGGAATACAAATTCCATGTTTTCTGTGCCGTTCTGCTCATTTCTATTGTCATTACTTGCTGTCTAGTCATATGGAGATGTCCTAGATAAGACAGGACTTCTGCAAACAATTATTTCCATGTAAATTATCTTTGAACTGCATTTAGATCAGCTTTAATCATTGTCCATTAATGCACTCGTCATTTGGTTTTTGATATTTTCATACTTGGGTATTGTATGCTTAGTACTGATTTAAATAACAAGCTTGTGTCATTTCTCTGAGTTTTGTCTTTGGTTTTTCACTTACTATCACCATTTTTATATATAATTACAGTATTCATGGAAAAGGTACTTGCATGGTCTTTAAATTTTTTTATTTTATTTTATTTTACAGGGTAGGACTGGTCTTCCACTTAGCACTTATTTTAGTGCAGTGAAACTTCGATGGCTTTTGGATAATGTGGAAGAGATTAAGCAAGCAGTTGATGATGGAAGAGCTATGTTTGGAACTATTGATTCATGGCTTATATGGGTATGTATTTGTGAGTTTATTATCATTCTTTTTAAAATTAATTTCCATATCAGGCAAATTTCTGTGCAAAGTACTGTGACACATGATGCCCACTGATCACACAGTGATGTTAGTACAAGCCACTAAAGAAATTCCATTCAAGTTCCTTACAAGATGAACTTTTACTGTCCCTATATGGCTGTATTTTTTTTTTTTTTTTGTAGATGCTTATGTATAGTTTACCATTTATGGTTTGCTGTAAAATTGCACTGATGCTTTTGGAAAAATCTTGAACTTCAGAAAGATGTATTAGCCACCTTTGCATTATAAGAATCCGGGAGGTACTGCTGTACCCTTATTACTTCTCTCATGCTTTTTCTCCACTATGTCACATCTGCCTCTTTAGTTGTTGCAGAAATATCAGAGTTCCCAATCCCAAGCTGCAAGCTTTGTGAATGTAGAATTTTTTTTTTGTAATTTGTTAAAGCAAACCTGTATTTTTTCTTGGTGAATACTGGTGATATATTTTTTTTGTTCAGAGTTTGACAGGTGGAAAGAATGGAGGCGTTCACTGTACAGATGTAACCAATGCCAGCAGAACAATGTTGTTCAACATTCATTCCTTGGAATGGGATCTTGAGCTCTGCCAGTAAGCTCAGTTTTTCAGTAATACTGTTATTTACACAGATTCTGTAAGTGATGTGTAAAGCAACTCATTAATAGTAAGAATCTCTTATCTAGACTAAGATCAGCAATTACTGTTGTATTTACTGTTAAAATTAATAATTAAGATTCATTGTTCTCCAGATGTCCAAATTACAACTGTCTGGATTAATTAAAAGTAGCAGAGCCTTGATTTTTTTCTGCAGGTGGAACACTGGTTCATGGAAACAATATTTAATAGTTTCTTTATTCCTTAATCAAATTTGTAAGACAGTTACAATGATAGTGTCTCCATTTTAATTTAAATTTATTAATAACGATGTAATAAAGATATTGTTGGAAGAGAAATTACTTCCCACATGAAAGAGTTGGATATGTCTTCAGAATATTCCAATATATGCTGGTTTACTCCATAATTCAGTGTCACGTACTATAACAAGTGAAAAAACACAGTGATGGATTAAACCCTAGGAATCAAAGTTCCTTTTATATTTTTTTTCTTTACAGGTTAAACTTATTTAAGAAAATAAATGCAATATGTGTTCTGACTTAGCACAGAACATATATATAAATTATTTTGTATTGTGTTCAGGTTCTTTGATATTCCTATGGAAATACTTCCAAAAGTACGAAGCTCCTCTGAGATTTATGGCCTGATGGTATGTTTTCTTGTGTGTGTGTGAAGTTAATCTTGTAAAAATATAATTCTATCAATATAAATTTGACAGAATTTCCATGGATTAAGACTAATGGCTTTTTCTAGACCAGTATTTTTTGGTTTATGATTAGTATGTCATTATCTACCATTGTGTAATATTATATGAAGTTGAATACCTGTTGTTTTCTCTTTTAAGTGTCAAATAGACAAAACGAAATGGGAGAGTTTTTTTGATAAGGATAAAAATTTGATTTTTTAATTACAATTACTTATTGATTTAGAAACTACCAATCAGAATGCAATGTATAATCGGTAGATTAAAAAGATGAGATTACTGTTGTTAGAGCACAATATTTTTACTTTTTGTACAATTGAAGAGATGAAAATCACTATGGAAGTCTTCAAGATCTCAGACGACTGGAGGAGATGTGTAATGTATTATTTCCACATAACTGAAGGCAAGATAAGTCAGTTTCTGTGAACTGGAAAATCACAAGTGACATCTTAGATTGCCTTCTTTTTGAAAAATAAACTCCTCTTGCCATGTATATTTACATAGCACTCACTAAAAAAATATTTTAGAATATTGTAATGTCTTTTTAATCACACTGCTTAGAGTGCAGCTGTGAATATTACTTAGGAGTAAATCATTAATTGTTATCATGGGGCCGAGGTTTCAAGTTTACTTTGATGCAGCACTGACTCTGCTGATACAGTGGCATCTAATTTATTCTTAAAAGCTTCAGAATCGGATAAACTGGATGTTGTGATTTTGCATTCTTTTTCCTGGTAGTTTGCCCTATTGTTTACTAAGAACATACAGGCATTTTGTAATTAAGACAAGTTATGACATTTTTATTTAAAATATAACTCTAACTTGCCTGAAATGTAAGTATTTTTGCTAATCTGTTAATGGAGATGCCACTAGAAGTCATTGCTGACTTTTATTAATGTGAAGGTCAGATGAGAGTGAGTTGTGTTAAGCTGAATGAGTGAGGTAAATGGGGAAAGATACTACCTGGCAACAGAAACAGAATAGCTGGTCACTTTAAATGTGAACTTTTGTTTCTCTTCCCCTTTCCTTCTATTTTTTTTCTTTTTCTTCCTTTTGCTGACTGTAGAAAATCTGTCCTAGCCTGGTGAGTAAAGGCTTCCATTAGGTTGACCACCTATATCTTATCCATTCTGTTCAGACGCTGTGCATTTCCATTGGTTTAAGGATTAGTAAAAGCACACTTTCTAGAACAATAAATTTGGTGGGTATTTCCAAATTTGAGATATTACAATTAGAGTTCATGCCAAAGTTGTTTCTAAAATGTAATCTTGATGTATGCATTTGCCTTAATTTGAAGGCTGTTGAATATTTCTTTTTATAGTGAAGTAAAAAATACAGCTACTGGCTAATAAATGTTGGCTGTCTCATTTTATAAATGAGAAAAGTGGGCCATTCTGTCTACAAAAATTCGTTCTATTATAGTGAAACATCAGATTCATGCAGGGGGTTTTAGTGCATTTATAAACTCAGTTACCTTAAATCCAGTTAATTAAAAAGAGAATTAAAGAAAAAAAGATTCAGATTGGAAATGCACTTGCATGACTTCACTGAAAATGTGTTTTCATGATTGCACAAAGAAACACTTTAAAGAAAGAAGTAGAAATTGTCAGGAGATAAATTTCTTATGTTACCTATTGCAAGAATGCAACTGAAAAACAATGTGGTAGTGTTTGGAAGAAATTGTCTATGAGACTTAAAATGCTGTATCTTAAAATGAGGCATCTGTCTTTGCTTAGTGTGTCATCACAATCACGTTTTTTTCTAGTCACTACTATTTAGGCACTTTTGCATTTTACACTTGACACTGACTGCAAAGGTTACACTGAACTTAATTTTCTGTACACTGTGATTTCAACAAAATTTATATTAAGAGCTGTTGAGGTGACATAAAATATATCTGTAAGTTTCCTGCTCTCTATTTTTTAGTGCTTTAGGCATGAGCTGGATTAAGCTGAAGTCCAATGTACACCTGAACTGAACCACGTTGCTTACGTGACCCTTCTTTGTTTTCCTTTGAGCATTACAAGTTTAGCTTCTTTTTCATTGCCTTAAGTTGTAGTCATGGAAAGCTAATTTTGAGCTTTTCTTTCTCTTTTTGCAAATCAGAAATCTGGAGCTTTGACAGGTGTACCAATTTCTGGGGTAAGTCCTACTTCAACTCAGATTCTGGCATGAGAACCTGATACTGCATGAACATATCTTCACTGGAAAAAGCTTTAAGATGGGTGACTCCTGCTACAAATTAACTTGATGGTTTTTTACTTTGTGTTAAACATGTAGCAAACTTTTAAAGTTGAATTATTAATTGACTGGGTTCTTCATTATTAAGTTAAGGTCTGGCTGTGGAAATACAGCTGACAGCTTTAATGCATATGGGTAGTGCTGTGGGAAACAGGGTCTCTAAGTAAATGAGTAATACTACAAAATGGAAGCAAGCTCTGCTTTATATATAAAAGGAGTTTCGTATATACATAGCCCAGAAATGTTGGGCAGATTGTCATCTTTTTCCAATACAACATGCATAAAGATAGTAAATTTTGATTTTGATTTCTTTAAATTGTTCACCATAAATCACACGACACATTTCATTTGTAGTTCTTTGAGGGGAAGAGTACTAAAAAGCAAAGATTGTCTTTATAGATTTTTTTCCTCACTTTCAATTACCTGTGTGCTCCTAATAGGTTAGAGGTATAGTTAAATGTATCTGTTCATGTTCCTTTTTCATGCATGTGATTCATCTACAGACATTTGCTAAAAAAAAAATCTCCTCTTTTCAGTGCTTGGGTGACCAGTCTGCTGCTCTTGTTGGGCAAATGTGTTTCCAAGATGGGCAGGCAAAAAATACGTAAGCTATTATGAAAGTTGTAAGATAAACAGTACCTCCCTGTTCTGTTTTGAATTTAGTGTTATGTTCTCTTTCAAGCTAACTGCCAAATGCTTTTGTAGTTATCACATAACTACAGCTCTGTGTTGACCTACAATGTAAACAGTGTCCTTACTTTTATATAAAATAGTGAAGATATTAAAGTTAAATGGCTTGTGAGTTATATTTTGAAACAAAGTCACTGTGAGTAAATATCTCTGTGTGACAGGAGGTTCTTCATTTGAAAATTCTCCAAAACACAGATTAAAACAGTTGCAGTATCATTTAAATGTTGACCTAAAGTTAAACAAATAGAGGCCACATGAGTTAGATTGTGTAGTCTTGAATGACAAAAAAGCCACAGCACTGCTGGATGGGAAAGGTCCATTTCAGCTGCAGTGCTTAATTTTGCTTCTGTGTCTAGCTCAGGGTGGAGACTTTTACGTTTAGGTTTTTTTTTTTCCTATTTCTCAGCCTCTTAGTGTCCCTTGTTTAAAATAGCTGATCAGTTAAATCAGGCAACTGGTGTAATCAAACATTCATTTCAGGAAAAGCTCTCTGCTTAAATGTCTTACTGTTCCATTTACAACTGTGTGCTTAACTGAGCATGTAGGTACATACACAGTATTGGACTTGCACAGATTTAATTACACATTAATCTATACTTGTTGCTAATTAACCTTCACTTTATCTTTTATATTTATGGTTTTATTTTATGGTTAGTGGCTTTGTATTTTAGTAGAACAAACACGGTTCTAAGTAATATTGTCATGAAGTATTTTTATAAGAAAAACTTTTATAACACAAGAGACCTTTTGAAAAAAAACCAGCTAAACCAAAAGGTAAAACTGAGATTCTTTTTAACCTGTTTGTGTTATTGCTTTACCATTTTTCTCTCCAATCATAACTGAAGACTTTCTCAGTACTACTTAAGCTATTAATTTTCAGGGTATTAAAAAGGTAGGGAAGTCATAATTTCATAGACTAAGATAGAGTGGATTATAAGTATTTTGTACTTCTTTTATTAAACTGTGTGCTTGTATGTGTATGTACGCACACATACATGTGATGTGGTCTTCAAATGAGAAACATGCCATTTTAAGAAATTTTTTAACTTAATGTTTAAAGAAAACCCTCTTTGTGATAGTAACAGTTTCTTAAATTTTCCCCTTTAAAAGCTTGAATTTAATATTGTGAAATATTTATTTTATAAAGTAGCTTTCGTAATCAGCTTAAATTGAAGTAGGTAAACACTGCCACCAAAGAGGAATTCGCACTTAGTTTTCAGCCATATCTGCTCCTTGATCGAGCGTTATACAAGAAATAGCCGGAGAGTGAGGTGTGTGACTAGATTTTCCAGCTGCAGGCTGCATTTAAATCAACTTTTTGAGGATGGTTTTATCATTAGTTAATGGTAACATAACTTTCAAGGGGCAAAAAGTGGTGTCTTGATTCTCCACAGGGGAGTCGGATTCATGAATTGCAGTAACAGGTTATCCTTTAAACATCCTGGTTTTAACTTTTCTTTGCTTTCATGCTAGGTATGGAACAGGATGTTTCTTGCTGTGCAATACAGGTCAGAAGGTCAGTTGCATTTTTTAGTTGTTCACTTTTTTTTTTTACAGTCTTTAAGTTCTTGACTACAGCTATATATTAGCCTTTCTTAACCTTATTAGCAGCAGTTAGTATCGCTAGAGATAAGGAAAAGTGCATACTGAAATCTGAAAGAATAGAAAGTAATAATTTGTTCAAGGTGTTTCAGTAAGACTCCATTTCCTAGCTCCTTAAGTTTCTAAAAAGAACTTGTCATAGCAAGTTTCTTGCTCTTCCCTTGTATATGTTTCTTAACCTCACCCAGAAGTGCTGAGCGTTGTGTTACTTAACCACATGCTTTTCTCCTCGTCATGGCTATTTTATTTCTTCCCTTCATTTTCTTCCACTGGTTCTTTGTAGTTGTAGTTCAATCAATAATGCAAAGCTTTGGCTTCCATCTCATTCACATCTCCTTCTAAGGACCCCTAATTCTTTGCTCTAAGGAGGCTGGAAAGATCTGAGGCAGCCTGTGGAAATGAGAATTAACACCAGCGATCTAGTCATAGAATCATAGAACGCTTTGGGTTGGAAGGGACCTTGAGAGGATCATCGAGCCCAACCCCCTTGCAGTAAGCAGGGGTTGAACCTGTGAACTTGGCGTTATTAGCGCCGTGTTCTAACCAACTGAGCTAACCTGGCTGGTCTGAGGGTTCTGTCTTAGGTGCTTATTTAGAGTGACTGATAATTTAATTTGTTCAAACTTTCCATATGTAATATTTCTTCCACTGAAAGTTTTGTCTCGTTTTTTATCATTTGAATATATTTCTTTTAAATATGTTCTGCCTCTGTTCATGCTTTACCTTTTCTTTCCCCTTTCCCCATTTAGTCTGTGTTTTCTGAGCATGGTCTTCTAACCACAATAGCTTACAAACTGGGCAGAGACAAACCTGTTTGTTATGCACTAGAGGTAAGTACAGTAATTTCTGCCTTCTTGTAGTGATATGTATTCTTGTTTACTAATGTTTTCTAGTATCCTTTTGTTATCTTCAGTTGCATGGAAATCAAAATAGCATTGTGTTGTAGCTTGTGTGCTTCAAGGCTTATGTGTGGTTTTGGTTATCCCTATCTCCGATCTGTATCATGTAATCTAGTAAAAATATTTCTACATTGCATCATTTATATTTTCAGGGCATGACGGTGACATTTTTTCTGCTACACAGTCTTTCAAATGTTTAATAAATGTTATAAATAAATAAAAAAGAAAAATTTTTATGCTAAAATTGTGTATAAAAAAGAGGGGAAAAAAGTACTAGTGTTTCAGTTATCCTCTCATAATAAAAGGCCTGACTAAATGTCTTTGGGTTTTATTTCATTCTAACGGATGTTACTTATAACTCCTTTTAAAAATCTGAATCAAATTTCTGGGACAAGAATCCTCTAACAATTGAGCTTTTTCTTCCTACTAAGACTTAGGTGCCTACTTCCAGAATTTGGTTCCTCAGTTCTCCACAAAACTCTGAGGACACCCAAATTCTATAGAAAATTGGATTTTTACTATAACTTCAGGGTTCATTTTTCTAAAGCTCGGCTTCTGAAGCACAGAGCAACTGAGGACCTATTTGTCACCAAAGCTTCGTAGGGTCCAACAGAATGATTATTATTCCATCTGTGTTGCTTAGTGGGCTTAATCTAATAGTTATTCTCAAAACGTGCATACTGAATTCTCTGCTGCCATTGAGCTTCTGTAGAGAGCCTGTGTTTTCCATGTGAAACAGCCAAAGACAACACACAGGTTTTTCTTCACTGGGAGAATAGTTTGTAGCTTACAGTACTTTACTAGGATGTGGGAGGCTGTATTAACTTCCTTTTCCTTCCCTAAGGAAAGTTGATTTGGCATTTGCCATGTTCCAGCAAACTTTGGGGTTTTCATTTTGTGGAGGTGTGCAAGATGTTTGTTTTATTTTTAACCCACGTTCTTAAAGCAAGAACAGGAACTGTCTTGAGAGTGATTTGTATTTCCACATGCTGAAACACATGCATGTATACATTTCTTCTTCCTCATCTCCAAGTCTTTAATGATATTGTCTGAAGAAATGGCATCAATAGAAGACATTAAGTATTCTTTCTCCTGTATCCATGCTAGAATCATCTACAATCTGTTGGTTGAGACACTTTCCAGAGAGGCAAGAAATGTGGATTCAGCCTTTTCTTCTAATCAAACCCATATCTTGTAACTGTAATAGCTAGCTGGTTAGAAAACCCCCTGCACCTTCTAGCAATGGCTAGAGGAATTTTGCTGGCAAATGCAATTGTCTAAATTTTCTGTCTGTCTGGGCATTTGTATTTATTCATAATCAGTCTTGGGTTTTTTAAATCAAAGCATAAAAATTGTAATTTGTCAGAAAAAGAAGGCTGAGGCTACTGGACCTCATGACTAAATTAGAGAGACAAGTAAACTGCTTAGGAAATGTCATGGTAACTCCCCTCCATGGAAAAAATCGTGCAATATGCACCTTTTCTACATGGAGCCTGTGTAACATGCTGCCATTTTTACATGGCAAGAAACTTGTGGTTTGTTTGAGAGCATTCTTGGGAGTGCTTTAAGCTGTGACTGTCAGCCTGCAATTGGAGGCCGCAGCTACCCCTTCTATTCAGTCTTGTGAAAAGGAACACAAAGCTACCAGTTGTTGTCTCCTAATGGTGTAGTGATTTTGTTTCCTTCAGGGATCTGTTGCAATAGCTGGTGCTGTTGTTCGCTGGCTGAGGGACAATCTAGGTATCGTTAAGACTTCACAGGAAGTTGGTGAGTGTTCACAATTTGGAGCTTTTCAGCTTTTTAAGGTTTCTTTTCCAATGTGTTGATGTCTCTAATGTTGAATGAAAGTTCAAAATATTCAAGTAAAGAAAAGCTGGAAGATGCATATATTTTGCTGCCTTTGAACAATTTGGTTTGCATCCATGAAATCACCGTTCATTGGTATGTGTATTTCATACAGGTTATCAATATGGTCTTTGAAACCCTTTGTCAACTCTATTCTATTGCAGTCTGTACTTTTTAGTAGTTTCCCTAGCAAGCAGATATTCAGGAAGATACTATACTTATAGTGTATTTCCTTGTTTCATACAGTATTGAATTTTCCAGAGCCAAGAGTATTTAAGTCTCTATTACAGAACCTAGAGCGTATTTGATCCTAAACCTACATATTCATTCCTGTCATAAACACGAGAACCTGATGCCCTACATATGCAACAATTTGTGTAGAATTGTTCATATCCATTGAGTTAGGGACCTCAGTTTGCAAAACTGCCTCTTAAAGGAATCATGGAAGATGGTAATCCATTTTGGCTAAGAATATAGTAATCCATCAGCATTTGGGTAGCTGATGTTTTCTGCTTGAGCTGAACTGAAACAAACTGGTGTGTGACGTTACAGAAACTAGGACTATATCAAACTTTGAAAAAGGAGAAAATGTCAGAAGCGTGCAAATGTCACAGTTTGAAAGTGATTAATTTAATGAGATTAGGATTAAAAAGCAATTCATTACATATTTTTAATAATTTGATATGTTATTCAAAGGTGGAAAAAATTATAATTAAAATGTTATGTAAAACTTCAAAGACTAAGCAAAAACTTAAAACGTCAGTCTGTTTTTCTGTAAGAAAGCTTCGTAGATCATACAGAAGAATATAAACTACTAACACATGAATTAGCCAGCTGTTGAAACACTACAGGACCTGTTGGCTTCAAAAGTTTGACTAGACCTTTGGAAGGTTTGAGTTTCAAGAACTTTTAATCTTGTCAGTGTTGTTAAAGTCATGTGAGACTTCATCTCCTCCTGTTTCCTGGAACGTGTCCTTGCTTCCTTCTTCTGCCTTTTTTTAAGTGGAGTCTGTATGAAAATACTATTTTAAAAAGAACTTCTGAGTAAGTTTTCCTACCTCTTTTCTCTATTACTATGCAAACAGAAGAAATTTACAAAAGCAGATAAAAAAATACTTTCCATTCTTGTTATAGGAAGGAGCTGCACATTAGCATTACTTCCTTGACAGTTCTAGATGTTTTAGTATAATTTTTAAAATTACAAATATTTTAATATTGGGGAGTTCAGATATCCAAAGTTATTACTCAGATATTAAGAAACCTCGGATTTCCTTGTAGCTGGCCTTGTGATTGTGTATGTAAGCTGATAATTTAGAACTCTAAAGTCCATTTGAAATTAATGAGAATTTAGTTCTTAACTCCCTTTAGTCTTCGTCCAGTTTCACTTGCTTGCCTTGACTTAAATGCAAGTAAAGCATAACCTTTTGGACTGCTTTGAAGGCTGCATTCTTTAACCACAGGATATCCTTTGAAAACCTCACAGAATCTAGATCAGAATATTGAATACAGGATTTTGGGTTTTGGTTTTGATTTTTCATTTTGCATTTTACATTTCCCACAACACCCGATGCCCCATTCCATTCACATTGTTGCAAATGAACAACTAGTTAATGAGGAGCAGAATGCCAGAGTTAGTTTCATTTAGTTAGTTAGTTTTATTTTGTTTATTATTTAAATAATAACACCTTTAAGTGTCATATTTAAGTGTTGGTACAGTTGTGAAAAGCTAAGTGAAGACTGTTTGTGTGTGTGCATTAGAAAAACTGGCCGCAGAAGTGGGGACTTCTTATGGCTGCTACTTTGTGCCAGCATTTTCAGGACTGTATGCACCATACTGGGAACCCAGTGCAAGGGGGTAAGGATCTGACTAAATACTGCATTTGCAGGGAGGTTTAATGATTTTACAAACACTATCGCTAGTCTTTCCAGGTATGTGAAATTGTTCTTTTTGTTCCTTTGATGTCTGAATACATCATTCTCTGTGGTATCTTCAAGCAACTACTGTGCTTCTCTTTTGTATTTAATCTGTTCAAAACAGCATCTGCTACTGGGAGAACAGGGTTAGCTAGCTCAACTACTCACCCTCCTCTCCGTCCCCCCTCAAAAAAAAGGAGGTGGGGAGCAGGGAAAACATTTGGGGTGGGTTGTACATTTCAGAGGACAAGTGCAAGATAGTTCTATCATTCTTGCCACTAACAAGACCAGCTTTTTTTCTTCACACATTTCTGGTTCTGAAAGGATTTTCGTCTCACTAAAGAGAAAGAGGCGGTCTGGATACCTGTGAGCTGTCAGGCAGCAGAAGTAGAAAGTGAAGAATTTAGTGCTGATTAGTTTTTCTGAGCTCAGTTTCCCATGGCTGCTGCCTTCACTATCTCAAATGAGCTACTTAATGGGCTACTTAATTCCTCCCCAGTTTTCCTCCCTCTCCTTCCCCTTATGTCCAGCTTGCTTTCCAATCTATTGAACGCTCTTTTCTCCTCTCCTTACAGTCCCTTTCCTGGTTGTTAAGACTTAACTAGCTGGTACTAGTTAGAACTACTAGTTCAAATAATAACCTTCCATTTGTCTTTTCTACTACTGTGAGCTTCCCACTGTTGCTGGAATCACAATATGCCATGGGAGTCATAGAAGTGTAACAAATTTAAATATAAAATAACTTTTCCTAAAGTGAAAAAAAGAAATCTTAAAGAATATCTAGTTCTAGGTTTCAAGTAGTTGCATCTTTAGAATTTAGATGCTTTTTGGACATAAGGAAAAAAAAATCTTAGAGTTAGATGTTTTTACAGTTTTTCAGATCACAGTGCTTAACTTTTTAAGTGTTAAAAGAGGATCTTTGGAATGGCAACAACTAAAGATGTCCTTTAGTATCTTTGAACTTTCATGTATCCAGCACCAAACATAGCAGCATTTCTGTGTAGTATGCTATGATTCCTCAGGTGTTGAAACAGTATAAAAGGATGGTTATTTGCTCTGCAGTTCAGAATACATTGACAGAATTCAGCTTACTCATGGTTAGATGCAGCATTATTTTCATATCCAAAAATCTCTTTGAAAGCGCAAAAGCAACTAATGATCAGAATAGATCTGAAAACAATTTTAAGCATTTAGAGCACAGCACTGACCCAGCTAGGCTTTTCTTTAAGAACTGAAAGCACTAGAAAATTTATTAAGATTTTAGTGGTAGGTGATACTATTTTTTGAAGAAAAATCAGCCTCGATCATTCATTTCCTTTTCTTAAAGGAAGACTAGAATTTGGGGAGGGGGGGAGGTGAATATACACCTATTTGCATGCAGATTGGCAATAAAATTTTAATTTATGGCAATTGTATCGATTGGACACTGAAAGCATGTTCGTCAGGAAAACAGGGAGGAGAGAGTTTAGACTGAAGAGAAACAAGCTTTTAATATTAAAAAGCAGTCCTCATACAATGTAACTGGATGAGCTTTGAATTAGAAGGCTTATGTCTGAAGTAACAGTGTATGTCTGGTAAAGAAGTATGTCCTAACTGTTTGGCTTTTTTTTTCTCTACAACAGTATTATCTGTGGCCTTACTCAGTTTACAAATAAAAACCACATCGCCTTTGCTGCATTAGAAGCGGTCTGCTTTCAAACACGAGAGGTAAAGGCAAAATGGGTCCTAAATTCATTGTAAATTAGTATGATAACAGGGACTATAGCTCTTCAGGAAGAGAGAGGATTGAAAAGATTTAATGAACATTAATCATGCTTTATATTGTACTTGGATGCTGTTCTTCTCTTTAAGTGATGCTAATGTTGAAAAATTGTTCCTGTGGACTTAGCTACAATGGTCTGTTTGGGTGGTACATTATTTTGGGCTGGCAATCCTACTTTTTATCAGCACTTAAAATAAGGTGAACGTATTGTGTGAATATTTTGAGAGGCAGAACATAGAAACGCGAAAATGACAAGACCAGTGCCATAGTTGCATTAGTTGCCAGTTGCATTAGTTCCACAACATAGGAGACTACATTTTATATTGTGTGCTGTGACAGAGATGGCTTATGTGGCTTTCAGTACACAAGAACAAAAAGGAGTTAAAGAAAGACAGCAGCAAACATACCAAGGGAAATCTGGATTCACTTCTGGACCATTACATCTTGTATTGCCTTAACTGGCATTCTGCAACAGCAAACCTAAATTCTCACAGAAGAAATGAATCCTTCACCCAAATCAAAGGGGTTGATATCAGTATGTTCTGAACATTAGAATCTTTATATCACCATCTGCTATCAATTTACGCTTCCTGTGTTCCATACAAATACAGGAGAAAATGCAATCCTAGATCCCAAAGGGCAACAGTCAAACCTTAATTTGATTGCATGTTTTTAAACTGATGTTACTTAAATATATTGAGTTTTAAAATAACAGCCAGCTAAAACCTTGTGAGAGGAGGAAGACAGCTTGCTGTTTCTGTAGTGAGATAGAATAAGGTAAGAAGTACTCATGTGGAAAAAGACAGTTAGAAATTTCACCCAGGTGTCTGCCTTTGAAGCTATGCTAACAGCCTCTGAGTCCTCAGAAAGTTGTGAAGGAGCTTGGAAGTAGCATATATTTCTAATTCTCATACTAGAAATCAGAGTAAAGTTGCAGGGAACTGAACTGATAGTCTAGTTTTGACTGCTCCTCTCTTTCCTTGTGCCTCCTCCCATCCATTCCCTCTCATGTGACAGCCCGATGAACTTTCCAGCAGAAAATTATCCCTCTTTTTGCTAGGCTATTTTTCTGCTGGATTAATGACCTCAGCTGCCTCGCAGAGGAGTGTAGCAAATGTCAGAACAAGAGACAGGGCATTTGGCTGGGAGTAGGAGGGAGGGGAACAAAGCTCTCAGGCTGAGTGAGGGTGAAGTTAACTGTTTGAACAGGTCTAATACTTCCTCATGCTTCAGTCAATGTGCTTTTATCACAATGACAGGAGTGCCTGATTAGGTCTCTGGACACGCTTAAATTGACAGATTAAGTCCTAGTGACACAGATAAAATATATGTACATTTTTCAAAGATACATTGTTAGCTCTGTCTTGTCAGAAACAAAGTTCTTTCGTTTTAATTCCAGTTAAAATGGAATTCTTTTGTATCCTTCAGGAAAACCCTCAAATTTCATGTTCATTGGAGTTTTTGCTTGTTTTACTGTGCCATCCAATCCTTCTAAGTCTCTGTTCCTTGTTATCCAAAAAGCTCCTTCCTTGTGCAGACAAACAACATTTGTTACGTTTTTTTCTTCCAGAAGGCATTATGGAAAAATAAGCAATTTTTCAGTTCTAAGAGTTGTACAATGCTGTCGTTAGCCAAAACTTACATACTTGGATACTTTACTCTTCATCCAACCTTGGTATAATACCGGTATAATACTGGCAGCAGCATGATCATGATTTGGTTTGTTCCTTCATCCCTTCCTGATTTCTAGCATTCTTTTTACTTTTTTACTCTCTACTGAGTGCATAGTATGATCCAACATGCTCTTTGCACAGTGCTAAACAAAGCCAGAGCCTCCAACAGTATGTGTATGTAAAGCTGAGATTATGAGGCACTGCTGAAGTTCCGAATGGTAAAAAAGGCAAAGGCAGGTGAAATCAGCATAGACAAATGTAAAATGATGCATGTGAAGGAGATAAGTGGTGGGGAGCAGTACTAGCTTACTACTGCCAGCAAACTTTGCTGCTGTGCTATGAATCCTCTTTTCCAGGTTATTTCTAATGTACTGAACAGTGCAGGCCCATGGACAGATGCTGCCACCATGAAAACTCACCTTTTGCTCTTACCTTCTAGTTTTTAACCATGATTTATCCTGTGGCAGTTCTTTTAGTTCCTTTAAAGATTTTCTGCTAAGGGACCTTGCTGACTTCCTTTCTGGGAACAGGCAGAATCTACTGGACAGCTCATCTCCCTATAGTTTTTACTACCTTACAAACCTACAATTTTTTTTTCTTTTTTATAAAACATTTTGACTTTTCCCAGTAAGGATTGCATAACTGGGTACTTTGTGAACTACAGGACAGTGCAGAATGTGTTGTATTTTTGGTCTTTTTTGCGGTCTATGTTGCCTTGTCATTTAAAGCTAGAAAAAGCACACCTCTTTTTTATTCAAATAAACTGAAAAATTACAAAGAGAAAATAATTCTGCACTAGTTAATGCTTAACTTTGTCAACAAAAATTATGCACTAACCTTAAAGAATGTAAATGAGATATTTAATTGACTGCTTTTATAAAACCCTAGAAAACCCATGCTTCTGCATTTAATAGGTGCTGTGGTGTTGCCAGTAGCTAAGGTTTGAGGCAAATCTTACATTTTTAGGAAACCCTCTAAAAAGCATATTGGTAGGTATCAGTGAATTAAATACTCCACTCTTAGTTAATTATCCCTTGCAAACACTTTAACACTTTTCATTTGTTTTCAGCTATCCACTGTGCCCAAAAGAAGGAAACATGATTTTACAAAAAATTACACTAACAAGTTTGTTTTTGCAGTCTATTTCATGTAATGTAAAATTCTCAATTTTCAACAACTAATTGAAAATATTTCAAGAGGCTGCTCTTTCAAAATAGTTCCACATTCAGCAGTTCCTATTGAAGTGTATTCCAGATTGCCAGTTCAAAAGTTTTAATTTTTCAATTCTTTAATGCATCAAATTAGAGAAAGTATCTAGACAAACTGTAATCAGCTAAAGGACTCCATTTAGTATTACTTCTTCCTTTGTTAGCTTTGATAAATGTTGTGGTTGTCATCAGCTTTTCTTCAAAATCCTTCTTCTCAGACCATATAAGCAATGCATAGGCTAGGCATAGAGCATCACAGGAGAAACATTTCCTACACTAGGATTTCTGTAATAAATAGAATGCATTTGCTGTATATTAAACAAAACTGTATTGTCACTACCTCTGTTTTTTCCTCTTGATATATATAGGAGAGGGGAATTATCTGCTTAACACTCTTCAGCAAATGCTGAATTATCAGTATTTTACACTCAGATGGTATCATCGATTTCTCTGCAATTAAATCATAACATACATTACTCTTACTTAAGATTTTAGATGCCATGAACAAGGACTGTGGGATACCATTAAATCAGTTACAAGTAGACGGAGGAATGACCAATAACAAAGTCCTCATGCAACTCCAATCAGACATTCTCTGTATTCCAGTAGGTAAGGTGAAATTACAACTCCTATTCTCTTTTTAAAGCTGAAAACAACATTGGTTTGTAATGGCTAGTGAAGGCAAATTGGATGGCTTGCTTTGTTGTTGTTGTTGCTGGTCTTTTGCTACTGCTTGAGAATGCTGGGGGTTTTTTTCAGAAAAACTTTAGATTTTGCATCCAGTTTTGAGATTCACTTTCATAGAGAATCACTGACTTATTTCTTATGTTGAAATATTACAGCACTATGATGGTATTGAACTTTAAAGTTGTCATATCAATTTCTAAACATCTAGCAATTTTTAAATCAGTGAAATTAACCCTCTCCTGCAACATGTTGGCCCTGAGAATCTTGCTCAGACATAGATCAGAACTTTGCACCTCCAATGCTCATGTATGGCTCTCGAGTTTCAGCAAATAGCAAATACCCTTTTTTCTGTTCCCTTTGCCTGCGCAAACCTTTGATTTCCTTTAAAATGTAAAAGTCGACCCACAAAACACATTCTCCATTGTGTTTCCTCCCACAGCAGCAACAAAGAAGGGAATAGAGGTTACAACAAAAGTGGGAATCTTGCAACCAGTTTTCTTGGCGTGCGTAACATGAAATACAAACCCAAATGGGGTTGTTCCTCTCTGAGGCGAATGAAAGTTTACAATACCATTATTCTGATCCAACAGCAATGCAGCCATTTTAGAAATGATCATGTAACACTTCTTTCATAGAAGTCCCCTAGAATAATAAAAAGGCTTTTTTTAGCTTTTGAAGGATGTGTTTCAATACACTAAAGCTCTTTAAAGACCTCACTTGAAACCTGGAGCATTTCAGAGTCAGTGAAAAGGGTGCATCTTTCTGAAGACATGTTATAACACCTGTAGCAGATCCCAAGTTGCCAAGTATTGTAAGCTATACATTAGCATTCTTATGGATGCGGTGTGTCACTGAGTAACAGCAGGATATTACACATCTTCAGCTATACTGACAGCTAATAATTTGCTGCATAAATGTAATAATCTTGCCTAATATGCAGCTTCTAGAAAATAATTTAGAAAAACATGATGTTGTCTCATGCATAAATGTGAGACACTTCAGTGTAAAGTTTTTAACTCTAGACATATTATGGTTTGCCTTTAATAATACATAATACCTAAGGCTTATACTATCAGTGCAGATGCGTAGTTAGCAGATGAAAGGATGCATAGTTAGCGGATGAAAGGATATGATCAATGAAATCAGATTTTAAAGGGTCCTCTGCCTGAAGCAGAGAAGCAGGCAGCTCTAGAGTTTTTGGAACAGATTTACCATTGACATCTTGGTGGTTGGATGGCCTTCTATAGCGTCTGTGGGAGGCAAACAAGCTAGTAAGTACAGGTGTATAGCCTCTTTTAAGATGCCTTTCTAAATATAAATGCTTTTAATAACACAATATCTAGAGCATGGGAACAAGACTCATAACTTAGCCAGTGATCACTGCTTTGAGGAGGGAGGGAGGAAGAAGACAAAAAAAATAGTGTATTATAAGCAGGAGTACTCTAAGGAAACTGATGGTTGAGGTCAACAGCCCTGCGCATGATATGAAAATGGGCAATTGCATGATTCATGTTTCAAAGACTTGGGCGACTTATAGGTGAAGTTAGCCTCATAACCATATGAATGGCAATAACATGAGGTTTGCAGTTGGTAAATTTAAAGGAAGCATATAGCAGTTGTAGAAAATATATATCATTCTAGATACATATGTAAATCTTTAGTTCTGATGTCATCAAGGTGACTTTCATTAAAAATCATCATGGCCTTCTCTGTGATTTACTTCAGTAAAGCCATCAATGCCTGAAACAACAGCTCTAGGAGCTGCTATGGCAGCAGGAGCTGCCGAAGGAGTTGGAATTTGGAGTCTGAATCCTGGAGATCTGACAGCAGTGACATGTGAACGATTTGAACCACAGATCAACCCGGAGGGTAAAATCCTTTCATATTATCTAAGAAGTTGCAAGCTTAATATTTTATGTCCAACAGATGGGGTTTTTTCTTTGTTGCAGTCTAACATACTGATATAAAACGAGCTATTTATGAATATCCTCACAAATGTTGAAGATCAGTTTGTTTGGCTTACAGAAAAGTGCATTTCACTTGCTGATTTGTCCATTTATTGACTAGTAAGATTGGTAAATGGTTAAAACAACATTAAGTCCACAGGGGAATGTGTTGGCATTTTTTTCTTTCTTCTTTTAGAAAGAAGCTTGGCAATGGGCATTGCAGTTAGTAGCTTTTGATTTATAGCAAGTAGAATCAAAGAAATCTTGAAAGGTTTTTAGTGAGAAAGATGTCTCCTAAAGCTCCTGTGCATGTGTGAGTTTTCACAGATGTAGAAAGGACAGGCTGACTGGTTTGGGGAGACTTTTCTTTTGGCTTTAAAAAGCCTACATTAATAATATTTTTTTCACTACCTTTTTCATTGGTTCTTAAGTGCTTCTAGAGATGGAAAGCAAATACTTGACATAGTTAATCTATGTGCAAGACAAATGCATTTTTGCCTTTTCAATTATTTCTTAATTTTTGGTACAGAATTTTGTCTTACTATTTTGATTATAATTACTGCTGTAACCCCTACTTCATGACAGTATTTTCAACACTGAAGGGCTTCTACATGAATAACAATTGCTTCATTTTGTCCTACTTGTAATTCTTATTGGTGAACATGCAGAAAATTGTTTCTAAGGCTTATTTTTCCTTACTGTGCATAACTGTGTGGGTTTGGGTTGTTTTGTTTTGGGTTGGGGTTTTTTTTTTTCATTCAAAACAGCATTTGATAATACGTGTTCTGTGCAGACAAACTATATTGTGCAAAAGAGTGGAAAGCTAATATTGTAGTCATTGCTTCTTAAATAATTGTAGTTGTATTCATATGCATTGAGAGGCTTTTCTGTTTGCTGATTTCTCAATTTCAGAAAGTGAACTTCGCTATGCCAGATGGAAGAAAGCTGTGGTGAAATCTATGGGCTGGGAGACATCTGAAGCTCCTTCAAATGGTAAACCAGAAATTAATGCAGGTCAAGTATTATTAATTAGCCAGTTAGCCTAGGTAGTTAATCTTGAGTTTGGAGACCTTTTCTGTTCATACCATCTCTGGACTGTTCCCATGATTTAAAAATTATTACTTAAAACCACCGTGGAAACAAAGCAGGAAAACAGAGAGATAGGTCTTCCTTGTGAAAGGAGGGCACAAGCAATATCTTGTAGGGCTCTAAAAACAGAGGACGTGAAATCAAGATTAACTGCAGGTTTTGCAGAATAGCATTAGTTTACAAAAGAAAAAAAAAAACCTTACCTAGAAGAAGAGATACAGCACAATTCTAAGACAGTGCAGGGATTTTGTAAACTTTCTTATACTATAACCTCATGTTGCAAAGGAGAAAAGTTTCATCCTGTGATTTTTCTTGCTGTATCTTGCCTTTATTTTTCACTGTATCTGAAGGAGGGATTGATAGCCACATCAAAATCTGTTTTACCCACAAGGGCTAAGAGCAAGAAGTTATCATAAAGTGAAGAATTGCATAGACCTATTGTTCACACACAGAGAATATACAAACACTTTTGAGGGACTGAACCAGATCTTTCTTTTGAAGTAGAGGGCTTTTTCATCTGTCAGGTTTGAATTAAATAAAACCTGCAGTCTTCTATGATCTATAGTTTGGATTTATATTTCAGCAGTTTCAAGATAAGTTTTTAGTCCTGAATCATCCTTATCCATCATCATTTATAGGCTTTATCTTCATTTCATTTCCCTTTTGTTGGAAACTGGTTGAAGGAAAAGTAAAGAATCCTCAAAATGTAAACTCACCCCACAATCCACAGTTGCAGCCCTCAAGCTGCATGAAGTCTCTTACTTTATTCTTGAAAGCTAAAGCTAAAATTTTCCTTTTATCATCCTCTATGTTGTTTTAAGTATTTTATTTAACACCATGGTTACACAAACAATCCTGTCAAGGCTATTTGGAAGGGAAATAGGTAACTTAGCCTGAGTAACAAGATTCACTTCAGTATTGTCCGTTATGATTTAGTAGCCTTACATCTAAACTCTCTGTTAAGCATCCTAAAATCCCAAGTGCTTGATGTGTATCTTATTTATGTATCTTTATTTCCTTTTAAATGATAGAAAATTCTGCCTTGCAGAAAGTAAAGCTAGATCTTGTTCTTCAGCTCATGTGAAAAGGGATATGTTTATCAAAACTTACCCTCAGTGATTATCTGGTTTAAACACTGCGGGGGGAAATGTTATTTTCCTTGGTTCTTGCTTTGAAACTTTGTGTTCTGCCTGCTAGGAGTACTTAAGATTGAAGAATACTAGAAATGGGCTCAACCTAGATGGTGCTAACAGTGGAATTTGGATTTGAACTCTTATACTGAGAGCCTGTTTTGAATTATTGTGGGGGTTGTGCATAATCTTTTTTATTTTTTCTGCAAATGTCACTACATTTGTTACGTTTTGCTGTTCATATGATTTTTTAACACATACATTGCAATTTATATATATATTTCTCTTTTGATTTGCTTGACTGGAAACACCCTCCCCTGGATGACATCAGGTGACACTAGTATCTTCTGTAGTCTGCCTTTGGGTTTTTTTATTATGAGTAGCATGATAATGTTAATCGGAGCAAAGTACGTCTCAGGTCAGTTATTATTCGAACTAGATCACTTTAAAAGCTATCTATGCTAGTTTAAGTGTTGGGTTTTTTTTGTATTCCATCTGTTTATTTTTAGCAAAAATGACTGATGCTTTTTGTTGTTCATGCACACGAGTGTTTGAGGGTGTGAATTAGGCATATGGTACCTAAAGAAACCAAGTGAATGCCATCTTGAATTCATCCTCATGTGCCATGAAATTCATAGTTGTTAGATGCACATGAAACCTTGAACTCTCCCCTCCCTTTGTCTAGCTATGCAGACTGTACACACTTTATAAAAGGGATATAGGTTGGAGCAGCCTAGCAGAGTTTTGCATTGCCTGCATTACAGTGTGCATTGTATTATCCTGTATTTCTTCTCATAATGTTTAAAATTATTTTGAGGATCTTGTTTAAATAAAGTGAAGACTTTTATTCTCTCCCGGAAAGGCTTCATGCACCCCTTTCATCCTTCTGGTCCCTTTGGAACTACAGTGTGGTTAGAAATCTTCATCTACTAAATCTATAGAATGTTCTTTTTGTACTTTGCTCTTGATGGATAAGTGAATTTATTTTGTGTAAAGAGAAGAGACCCTAAAAGGCCTATCTGCAAAACTGGGGAAAGGGACTGTGTGCATATGCAATGAAGATGCATCTTCAACCTATTAATATATGTTTTATTTAAAATAAAGTTCTTAATATGGATGACAGTGTTAGTTACTTATGCCAGAATTAAGACATTTCTTTAGGATATTCTTATGGTAAGAAAAAGAAGTTTATATGGCGATGTCGTTTGTTCTTTGTTATTGTGTTTAACAGTTTCATTCCAAAGAAAATATTTTACAGTATAGCCATTGTTGCTGCTTAAAAAGCTTTTTTTTTCGGGGGAGGGGGGAGGGTTGTTTAGTTTTCTTTCTTTGTTTTGGTTTTGATGGGGTGGGTGGGGGGTGTTAATTAAACAGATAATTGAGGACTCTAGCATGCCGCTGTGATGATGTGTTTGTATTTTGTTTCTACTCATTCAGCCTGAATTAACTATTCAGTTGTAATTTTCCTTGCATGGAAGAGACTGCCTGAGCTTTTAGAAGAACTAAAATAAAACTAAAGAAATGCTAGGCAAAAATCAAACTGAACAAATGGATTGACATTGATTTGCTAACTCTGGAATGTACCCATGAATGAGAACAATCTTGATTATGAAGAATTAAATAAAACCAGCTGTGAATAAGTGGGTAAATTTTTAACAAGCTGAACTAAGCAAATTCACTATTAATTCTAGATCAGGTTCTTCACCACATGGAGGATACCCAAAATAATATGAAGATCAACGTTAAGTGGGCAGATAAGCAACTTAAAATCTGGGTTTATTGCTTTTTAAAAACAACTAATAAGTAACCTGCATATAAATATCTAAACTTGCACTGTTGAAACTCATAAAAAAGATTTTATTTCCCCCCCGGCCCCTTCCCTAAGCTTGTCAGTGCCTTGCTGACCCACAAGGAGAAAGCATATTTCAACTCCCTCTGGCCTTCAGAACCGATTTTTGCCCTTGTTTTCAAATAACAGTAACTATTGAGAGAGAGAGAGTTACTATATATACCAATATAGTTCAATATAGTTACTTTATATACCAATATATTGGTATATTATTTACATGGTAAGCTTGGGGACAGGGGAAGTTTCAAGAAATTTCCAGCTCTTGTTTTAAAAATGATGATGTCTAAAAAGAAATAGCAACAGTGATGATATGTACAGGTTGTAGTTTTGCTCACCTGTGTGTTAGGGTAGAACATGATATATAGAATTTGTGTTGCTGATTGGAGCAGGGCTGCTTCCGCCTTAGACATTTACTCTGGTAAAGAGCCTTTTGTTTTTAAAAGCCGGAACTAGCTGACCAGACTTTCCTTCTAATTCAGTGCAGGAACTCCATTAATTAATTTCTTACATTTTATCTTTTAATGAAACACTGGAACTCCAACGCAGTCATCAGTATAGTAGGTTTGAGGACTGAATCTACTGAGGATTGAATTCATCCTTCATGTACTGAAACAGCAGTAAGTCTTGCATGGCAACAGTGCTGTTGTTGAATGTGTCTCTGTAGAGCAGGGCCATGATTTTACAACTACTGAAATTGAAGGAAAAATCTGCTGTGGCAGAGTAGAGAGCACTAACGTGGCAAAACCCATTTACAGAACTGCTAAACTAACTGCCTTTTCATGCAGCACCTGATGACAGAATATGAAGAACAATACTGTATTTCATTATTTCATAATTTCATCAAAATCAGGTGAATTACTTGTACCTTACTTTATGATCTTCATCCTTCTTCTCTCCCAGGGGAGAGGGCCAATATTTTGTTTTACTTCACTATTAAAGCAAGTTGTGTGTAGCGACTGGAGTCCTTATGCTAAGATGCTGTTAAGTTTTTCACACTAGTTTTGGAAGTGGGCAGCTGAGGGATTTCAACATACTCTGTAGCTGTACTTTTTTGGGGGGTGGGAGTTAACTGAAAGTGATACTATATTTTATTAGACTCAAATGTAAACAAAAGCCTTTGCATGCTTAAATTGGCACCTCTCAAGTGAGGTATACATGGAGATTGGCTATATACAGGATCTTACATGACATCTGGGGTATAAAAGTTCTTTGACGTTATTCTCACAGAATAAGGTGTCAGTGCTGATAGTAATACTATATTCTTCCTGCTTAAATACCCTTTGGGTTTTTTTTTTAAGATTCTGATTTTTCTTTTTAGTTTCTTGTGTTGTGATAGTTACTGCCAAATTGCATACTAATTTATATATAGGGATCACTATGCAGTTCTGCAAGTTAGTTGCAATAATATTTCACAAATTCCTGAAAGCTGAGCTCATATTCAGAAAAAAATAAGCTAGGAGTACCTTCCTTCAATTCTACTTGTTAAAAATTTACCCATCCTAATAGTGTGGTCTCTTCTCTCCTACTGTGGGCGCATCCCACATACTTAAGTGCTGGCTTATCTGGTGTCACAAGATACGTCTAATTTATCATTGCAATAATTAAAAACAAAGGATGGTTATACTGAATTCCTCTTGTAGCTCAGCTGTGTTATTAACATTTTAGAGTAAATCCTGTGTTACTAATGCATGTTCTTTCTCATTTAAGGTACTGGTAAATGAGACTACTTAGTGGACTCCCTGGACACAGCTGATTTTTTTTGTTTGGTTTTGTTTTGTTGTCTGAAGAGATTCCACCACCAATGTGATTATACTACTTTTGTGACTAAATCCATTCATGAATCCATCTGTTGCCGGTCCCTGAGAAACCTCCCAGTGGTACACTGAAACTTAAGTCCTCAGCCCTTCATTACTCTGCTCCCTTCCCTATCAACTCCAACTGCACTGGAGGCCTTTGCGTGGACTATCTCACATCATCCTCTAAAATTTCACAAGCCCTAGCTTTGTTTGAGAAGGTTGGCCCTGCAACGTCTGAGGTAATGTCAGATGTTTAGCTATCCTTTTCAGGGTTTTGGTACTTTATATAACACACTGCAGAAAGTTAATGATGCACTATAGAACTTTGTAAACGTGTTACAATTCTTCCAGCTGCTGTGAATTACCTTTTGTATGTCTGTCGTTGCCAAAGATGTTTTATTTGTAGTGGCCACTGGTCTGAAACACCTTCAACAGTACAAACCTTCTAAACGGTAGCTCCAAATGTATTATCAGTAGCACACATCGCCACCGGCTTGGCAATGAAGAGGTTGCTGATATGGTCCACAGAGCACTGTTGAAATGATCAATTACAAAGTGAAAAAGTTTGGTTTGGCTTCTGGCATATGTAGTCAGTTTGCCCCTTACAACTATTTAAGACCCTAAGCCCTGTAGCTGTACCTTTAAAGAGATAGGAGTAAATAGGTGTTTTGGTTAAGGCCATGTTTCATGTTCTTGTGTTTTTGTGTTAGTTTGGAAAGGCGTGCTATTGACAGGACAGCTTCTTGGTCCTCAGCAAGTGGTAACTCTTACAACTACTCTGTACAATGCACTTTTCTTGATCAGTACTGCATATATTCTGTCGTCCTGCTTAAGGATATTTTTGTGACTGTTTGTTAAACTTTTGAATGCTGAAGCTAACTTAGTTTTCCTTAAAGAGGGTCCGCTCCAAATTAAATATCAGTGCTTTAGTTCTTGATCTCATTCAGTATATCTCAGGGACCAAAATCTCCCTTTCCGTTTCCTTGTCTGTAGTTTTAACAGCAAGTTGTTGCAAAATAGGCTGAGACAACCCAAAACCCTGGCTTGGAAGAGTGGGCACTTGGCACCTGAAACAGGCCACTGGAATTCACAGGCAACTCGCGTGACACCCGAGTTGCATCCATTTTGAAACTTTTTGTCCTCCACATGTAAAGGAGTGAGGCAATAATCTTAGCTTCAGCTTTCCTGTTTGTACCAACAGCATGACAAATGCCAGCCTTATTGGTTAGGTCAGAGAAAATGCGTTCTTGTATAGTGTCGTTAGATCAGCATAGAATGACAGCAAGGTTAAACGTGGGAACAGCATGGAGAATTTCAAAGATGTGTTTAAATGCACTAGGAGTTAAAGGGAGCGTTTTTTTTGTGCGCGTTTGTTCTTAAAGTTTCTTGTCTTTAAAAAAATAGTCTTTTACAAAGTTTGCTTTTCTTTGTTAAACTATGATTAGTGGCTTAGTTTTTAAAAAGACGTTATCTATGTATGTGTCTGAAGCAATGATTGCACAGAAGTTCAGGTCTGTTCAATATATTTAATATCAAATGCATATTAATTGCCTTTTTATTGTCAAGTGCAATGACTTTTGAAAATATGATTTTTAATTAACAAGTTAGAGAAGGAACATTTTTCGTCCTGTGGTTGCATGTATAAATTCAACAGAGGGGATTTTTGTGCGGAGGTGAAAATATAACAGCATCATTCAAATCCCATATCTCCTATAAGTACTCAAATATGAGGTGTGACAATTGAAATTTCTGCGTTTTCCATTTTGTATTGGAGAGGTGAAGGAGTGAAAAATGAACATGAACCCACAGAAAAATCTTTATAATCCTTACCTTTACTCAGAGCTGTTGCTGATCCCACCTTGCCCCAAGGATGAGGAGCAACAGCAGCCTTTGGAGTACACAGGGCAAGGGCAGCACACACCTCAAACGCTGGGCTTCTGAGTATGACTTCTTGCCAAAACCACTGAAGTACTGAACCTGGGACGATTAATGTTGAAGTGTTGCCTTTGCCGGTGATGTATGTGTATTTTTTTTGTGATGTATGTATATTTTTTAAGAATTTCACACCACTGTTAACTTTCTACCAACATAGTTGAAATATATTGTAAACTGCGTATTGGGGGGGGGGGGGGAGACAAAACGTTGAAAATAGGGGGGGGGGGGGGGGAACGACAAACTGTTGAAAATTAGCTTTTTTGTGAAGCTGTGATTTATTTTTTTCTATACATTACCAGATTTATAAATTCTTACTTGAGAAATGCATTAACTTGGTATTAAAATACCATAAATAAATTGATGTAAGCTGTCAGTTTATTCTTGCACATTATCTTTCAGACACGTTTTCCTTAATGTTTTTCTCATGAGGCACTAGTATACGTTGATGTGTGTTAAACAACAGAGCACCCTCTTTAAGGATCACAGGCACGTGCTTTAACTTGCTCAGATGTACGGCTCAGATACATGCAGTACTGCATTCTGCTTTTGAGTGATACATTCGGTTGCAAGGACTGGATTAGAAATTACATTTCCTCAAGTCCCTCCATATTCAGGAAAAAGCAGGAACACACGAGTAGAATGACGAAAAGGAACACGGTCGTAATACAGGTTTGATCCGAAGGTCTCGACCAACACTGCTTGGTGGGGCCAACAGGCCAGACCGTTTTTGCTCTTATACCAGAGTCTGGTAATTGCTACAGATTGAAAAGCCATTATGAGCTGGGGGAAGAAATATTCATGGAACAGAAAACATTGCTGGGGGCACTAACCAGGAGCGTAAGGTGTTTGTTATTTCAAGAAAGAAGCA